GAATTCTAACTTTAGTGAGCCACAACTAAGGGCTTGATTTCAACTTAGGGACACTATTGGTCTTCAGTTTCATTGGTCTGATGTCATTGGTCCTATAAAAAAATATGCATGCTCGTTTTTTTATGCTTGATGTGAAAATCAGGGTGTATTTCATTTAATGAGAAAAGCAGCATTTCTTGCTACATTTATACAAATTTAATAACCACTACACACACCAGATGCTTATTGTCAATGTTTGAAGCTTTACCGGCTCTAATGAATTTTAAATTAGGAATATTTTCCACTTTGAAAAGGTTTGCTTTTGAGATTACCAGCAACTAAGACAGTAGGTAAATCTGTGCCTATTTAACCAAATATAGTCTAAATATGTCTGTTATATGTGGATTTATCCTGTATTTCCTTTTGAAGATATAGTATATGCAGGTAAGAGGAGATAAAACCCACTCTTATCTTTTAAATGTTCTCTTTGTATCATTAAACACAATTAATAGATTCAAGGGACGCCAAATAAATTTATTTTATTTACATGAGCACTGGAACTAGAAGAGGAACTGACACTGAGCATTTAGAAAATTAACTTCACTCTAGAAGTTGTACATCTAGGCTGTAGCTACTCTGTTTAACCCATTTCATGTATTTTATCTGGGGCTGAAACAATTCAAGGAAGCCGGACTCCAGCGTTCATAGTTGGTGCTTGCTGCACAGGCCTCCATTAAGCGACTGGTGCTGGGCCACTGGGCTGGACCCCCTCTATGACCAATCAGGATCCTTTTCACACTGTCACTGGACCAGCTTATTTTGTGTCTGTGTCTGTCTGGATCGAAGCAGATGACCTCTGTGACCTGCTGTTGGTCCAGGTAGAGAGGCTGACAGAGGGACACCAGGTACTTGGCTCAAACCCGCACCTAGAGCACAGGCATGAGGAATCTAGTGCTGCAGATAATGAATCCAGACAGGAGGAACACCGTTGGTCAAAAGTAACCCCAAAGTTGAGACGTGATTGGTCCACCAGAAGATGAAGCGTTAACCTATTGGTTGTTTTGGGCTTGCTTTTGCTCTCACTTTGTAATGCAAGTTCTCCAGCAGTGTTGACCATAGAAGGAGGTATTGCAGAAACTGTTTAGGTGCCTGATGGTTGCCGGACTTTTCTTCCCTCTTTTGATGTTTTCGGGAAATGTGTTCCATACCAGGCACATGAAAACAACAACAAAAAATATATATATTTTATGCATGTTTGCGTACAACCAAACTATAAATCAAGGTACACTTTTGTGATTTACTTGACTAAAAATATAAAGAAAATAACAACGGTATTTTTATCAGATAAAAAAAAAATTCCTCCTTCGAGCCGGATTCGAACCAGCGACCTAAGGATTACCACAGTCATACTCTACAGTCCTCCGCTCTACCAACTGAGCTATCGAAGGGGACACGAGAAGTGACGTCACTAATGGGAAAATATAGAGTCGGATTCACAGTTTCGGACAGCATTGCTCTCAATATATCGGACGTAACTTTCAGTCATTGTACCTACAGCTGCACACCGACAGAGGCGAGGCTGCAATTGAAAGGTGTAATAAAAAAAATAAATAAATAAAAGGACGGATTTTGGGCTCGAACTGGAAACCGTCCCTTGAAGGACTGGTTTCTGAATAAAAATCAGCCGAGGGCTGATTAGCCATTTAGGACCCGATTTCTGACATGATTATGCAGTGAAAGTCCACTTTATATAATGCCATTATACTGCTGCTGCTACTGCAACTATTACTCCTTACAGTTATTAACTAGACGTTTTTATATATATATATATATATATATAAAAAAAGAATCACTTCTTACTATCAGCAAAACCATTATTTCCTGTTCTCCAGGGGTGAAGCAAGATGGGGGACCAGGGGTGGCCATGGCCACCCTTCGCCACTCATTGGCCACCCCTGTGGCCACCCCTACCATTTTTTCCCTCTAATACAGATGGTGGCAGCAGTAATACTCTCAAGTGGAAAGTTCTAACTTATTTAACATTTTAATTTTCTATATGTAAACAATTAGCTGACAAGGAAAATACTGTGGTTAATTATGCAAATCAATATACTAACATCAAAGATGATAAATACAGAATTCATGCTCTTTTCAGAACTAGATTTTGTGTAATATCGGATAAAGAGAAAACGTGTCTCTGCATGTCATCTGGGAGTCTTCAGTGAAATCAAAGATAAATAACAACTTTAATAAAAACTTATCATATAATCAATTTATTTATTAGTGCTTGTAAATATCAATTTTATGCAGAATGTTTATTGATACAAGTAGGTAAGTAATGACGAGGGAAAAGATTTACGCCCCAGATCTCAAAACTGAAAGAATTCTATCCACTAGACCTTTAATTTAGAAAGCACGGATGTTTAAATATATGCGTCTACTTGTTAGCAAAGGCTTTAGGAAAGTATTGTCTTTATTTAGAAAATATCGATGTTATGCTTAATTAACCCTGAGGTTCTGGCGCCTATCAGCTTTCGGCCACCCCTCAGTGTACATTGATTATTGCCTGGCCACCCTTATAAAAATATTCTGGCTACGCCTCTGCTGTGCAACTTCTGTTGTTTATAAGAGCCGATGTCACCAGTGAATTTCCCCATTGTGAGACTAAGTAATTTCTATCTAATCTGATCAAATCTAGTGAATTCCTCAGACTAAGATTCAGTCTTGATAATATGTTTTGTGTATTATTGATCTAGAAGCCTTAAATCTGATATATTATGAATGCAAAATTACCCTTAAATTCTGGAATCAACTGTAAGAATGATTTTTTTAAAGAAAAAAATATTTCTGTGAACCGCTTCTCAAGATGTATATATGGCATTCTGTTGTTTTTAATACGATGAACAGCCTTTCCATTAGTTCTCATAATTGTAACATACATAGATGTACGTTACTAAACCTCTCAGCCCAATATGTCATGGTTTATAATAAAATTACTCTGTAAAAAAAGCAGTCAATCTATTTCACAATTACTAATTTTTTTTCTGCGTTTAAGAGTCTGTTGGAATTGAAGCAGAGTGAATTCTGTGCATGCTCCCAATGAGGGGATTCAAATTCTGGGGGGGAATAACTACCTTGGCACGACACCTGCTTGCTTGGGCTTGGAATGAGTCACAGGGTACTTAGACAAACTTTATTGTCATTTTGTATACACAGAGTGTATGCAAAATTTCATGTATACAGCTTTCAGTGAATGAAGAGGAGCTTAGCAGTGAAATAAGCATTTCCATTCATAAAGTGCAGCAATAATCAAATGTAAAGAGTGTGGGAGGAAACATGGTGCAAAAAGGATTGATGTGGATGTTCAGAGTACTGCACAAATAAATGAATGTATATGGTGCAAAAATAAAGAAGAAAACATTTCAGTTGAGTTCTATTAGGTTTGATGTTATGCAGAGTCTCGATATCTGACTTGGTTTAGAGTTTTTTCAACTGTTCAACAGTCTGATGGCAGCGGGGGGAAAGCTTTTAAATAACATGCCGGTCCTGCATGGAATGCTGCAAAGCCTCTTCCCAGAGGGCAACAGAGAGAACAGTCCATGGTGGGGGTATGAGGGGTCATTGATGATATTACGGGCTTGGGACATGCAGCACTGGGATAAAATGTCTTTAATGGAGGAAAAGAGGAGCCCCAATGATCTTCTCTGCTGTTCTCACCACTCGTCTCACCTTCTTCCAGTCGGTGCAGACATGCACTTCTGTGCCCTTTTGACCAGTGAGGTGGTGTTTACAGTCCAGGTGAAGGTGTCTGTGATGTGCACCCCCAGGAATTTGGTGCTGCTGACACCTCTACAGCTGAGCTGTTGATGAGCAGTGGAGCATGGTTAGGACGGTTCTTCCTGAAGTTCTTCCTGACGTTCAGGTTCAGGCAGTAATCTCTGCACCAGTACTCAAGGATACGGAGGATATATCGGACCTAAACCTTTGATATTCACGGAACTAACTTGTAAAAAAAAAAATCTCTGGAAATTTTTGGTTTATAAAAAGAGACCTCCTTCGAGCCGGATTCGAACCAGCGACCTAAGGATTTCCACAGTATCACTCTACAGTCCTCCGCTCTACCAACTGAGCTATCGAAGGGGACATGCAATCAGACGTAACTAGTGAACTAATACATTCAATTACAAGAGTTTTCAAACAGAAATGTCTTTATTTATCGGACATATCTTTTAGTTGTTTTACCTACAGAAGCTCCGGAGCAAACAGACGGAAGCGGTTACCAGTTGCTACGTCCCGAGCTTTTACTCATCAATTAGCGAAACTGGTCATCATTTTATAGCGACTCACAGCGATGTGTCCATGTTTCAGTGGCCAATGTCTGGAGGAGTTGCACCCTCTATATCTGGCCTTCACACTACCAACAGTTTGCCGATGCAAGTCTGCTGCCCTGAGTTATGCACTTTTATAGAATTGGCTGAGAGTATTGCGAATTGAATATTCATTTACTTTTTATATATGCAGTTTAAAGGTGGACATCTTTCAGAAGAATAAAACAAAACAAAACAAAAAAAAAACAAGATGCACTTTACTACCAGGGGCGGAGCTAGATGGAGACCAGGGGTAGCCATGGCCACCCTTAGCCAATCATTGACCACCCCTACCATTTCCCCCCCTCTAATAAAGATGGTGGCAGCAGTAATACTCTCAAGTTAAATTTTTTCATGTATTCACAATTTCTTGACAACAAAAACACTGTGGTTAATTATACATATCAATATACTAACATCAAAGATGATAAGTACCGAATTTATGCTTTTTTCAGAACTAGATTTTGTGTTATATGGGGTAAAGAGAAAATTATGTGCATCTGCAAGTCATCTGGGAGTTTTCAGTGAAATCATAGATAANATTGCGCATTGAATATTAATTTTCTTTTTTTTTATATGCAGTTTAAAGGTGGACATCTTTCAGAAGAATAAAAAAAAAACCAAAAAAAAAAAAAACAAGATGCACTTTACTACCAGGGGCGGAGCTAGATGGAGACCAGGGGTAGCCATGGCCACCCCTAGAATTTTTTCCCCCTCTAATAAAGATGGTGGCAGCAGTAATCCTCTCAAGTGGAATTTTTTTTTCATGTATTCATAATTTCTTGACAACAAAAACACTGTGGTTAATTATACATATCAATATACTAACATCAAAGATGATAAGTACAGAATTTATGCTCTTTTCAGAACTAGATTTTGTGTTATATGGGGTAAAGAGAAAATTATGTGCATCTGCAAGTCATCTGGGAGTTTTCAGTGAAATCATAGATAACTATTTTAATAAAAATGTATAAAATAATAAATTTATGAAGATAATATTACTTGTAAATATCAAATCTATGCAGAATGATTATCGATAAAAGTAGGTAAGTAATGACAATGGAAAAGATGCTTGCCCCAGAACTCAAACCTGAAAGTGTTGTATCCACTATACCTTTTATCTAGAAAGTAGATATATGCTTCTATTTATTGTTAGCAAAGGCTGTAGGAAAGTGCAGTTAATCTTCATGGATTTCATTCAATTTCAGTGTACATTGGTTATTGCCTGGCCACCCTTATAAAAATGTTCTAGCTACGACTCTGCGTGTAAGGAACACAAAATGCAGCAACCCCTCATACTAAAAGCCAGGGATAGATATTAGTTCTATAATAAATAGAAATAAACACATCCCAGGGACGGCCATGGGATGTGTAACTTTAAAAGGCTTTAACTGTACACATTGGTGTTTACCTAAAAAAAAAAAACAGGATCTAATTTTCTTTATACTTTTGGATTAGCATGGAAGCAAGACATGCTCAGCTGTAAAAGACCATAAAGCATTACATTGCATGAATATGAAGCTTTCTGCCACCAATTGGCACTAGCATAAGCACACGTTTACATACATAAAATTCATCCATACATGTAAGACTTTTACCTGAATCAAACGTGTTGTGGACTCAGGACAGCACAGCTGGAATAACTTGTTCATGTAAGCTACAGTTATTTGCCACCAAAAGATTGGAATATTAAATTGGACTTTGCCCTGTGACTGTCCACCAAAATATTCACCAGTCCTTGTTATAGGCTATTAAATAGTTGACCCTGTAATCTGATGAGAAAACTTCAAACATGTTGGCTATTTTAGTCCATTCATGTTTTTCCTTTAAAAAAAAAAAATATATATATTACCAGAAATTGGTGATTAGTTAATTCTTAACATTACTTTTATTTTGTAATGCACGTTGTAGTCACAACAGGCTAATAACAGTAAATACTCAGTTTCCAGCGATGACACAATCTAGAGCTTTAGAAAAATGTGAAACCTTGGATTAATGCGAAACATGACATTCAGTTTGAAGTCTTTATTACAAATGATTTTCATCACAAATTAAGACACTGGTTGCTGCCAAAGTCATCCAATCTGCTGCACAAAGGACCTTTACTGAAAAAACATTGAAATGTTGCCTTTTATCCTCATGTTTCAGAGTAAAACTAGATGTCGGCACAGAATCGCTCATGAGCCAAGACTTCAGTTACTCAGGACTTCGCTTTGACTAGAAGTTGAGGAACTGAAGTATAGACAGGACTGATAAAAAAAAAGAAAAAAAAAAGAGGGAAATGAAAGAATAAAAATAGTTTTGGACAAATGTAGGTGTTTTCTGATAAATATCCATATTTCCACAGGTGAAATAAATAATCCTGCAAGTGTGAAAACAGTTCACATTTCCATTGATGAAAGCATGACAGAGCAGATATAAAGTCTTCCTGATTTTTACCGATTAAAGGGTTATTTTTCTGACCCTTTACCAGGTTTCCTTAGAACATGTTTAAATAAAAATGCATACAAGTCTACAAACCTGGATTTTTTTCATGTATATATATAAATTACATTTGATCCTAAACGGGTAAAGAAACTCCTGGAACTTGCAGTAGAAAAAAGGGAGAGAAAAACTACAACTCCACATCCAGCAGTGACAAAGAGATTGGTAGAAACATGTATACAACAGCAGACCGGCTCATAAAATTTATTAAGAAAACAGGACATAAGTCTTTCTGAAGGAGTTGGTTGTCCTTCTGAAGGGGACGATCATGGCTTCAGAGGAGCCCCATGCGCTGAGATGCAGCTTCAAGTTGGGCCAGAGTGTGTTTGTGTGTGTGTACTGCATCTATTCGCACACACTCAGTATTTATATTGCATGAGTAAATTAGTCCAATTCTGTCGGGTTATCCAGCTCGCGTCAGCAGCTCCTGAGCCCATGTCTTGATGGCTGATGTTGTGTGCTGCAGCAGCTGCCATGTTGAGTTTGTGAAGTAAAGGGCGTGTCCCTGTAGACACGACACAGACACCTCTCCACTACAGGGAACAAAATAAGGGTTAATACAAATAAAAGACAAGCAATGATGCTACATTTAATAAATAGAAATGAGAATTGATAATCAGATCTGCAAAAAGCCTTATAAAAAAAAAACAAACAGGAAATATCCCCCATCATTTATTACTGTTGATCTCGCTCTGCTTTAATTACTTGTAGTTTATTTAAGGATATTCAGGGAGAAATAGTTCATTGTACAAAAACTACTACATTTATGAAGAAGGAACAAGTCTCTTCTTCTGTACTTTAGCTCTAAATTGTTGCCATCTCTTTTTCACTCTGGATTTCCAGCTAGATAAATATGCTACAAAGTTAATTTCATCTCAGTAAGCAATTCTTTTACGACACAGTCTATTTTTATTTTGAATTCCATTTTTATAGTTTTGTTGGTAATGAGTGAACCTAAATTCTTCCATTTACTTTGCCACTTCTACATCTGAATTTCCTTAATATAGGACAATAAAATATATTTTCATTTTTCTTATGCTTTCTGATTATTATTTGATATAAATCTTAATTTTTTCACTGCCATCAATAAAGGTCAAAGATTTGTGCATCTCAATAAGAAATTACCGGATAATTAAAATCTTCATTATTCCAAAACATATTTTCAAAGTGCAGTCAGTTTTTTTATGTTTTGATTGACATTTATTGTTATAATTGTTTTGAATATGAAGCATTTGCTTAAAGGGGAACAGCGTTTTTTTTTTTGTTTGTTTGTTTTTTACATTGGGCCCTTGATTTTTCGTTATTACATCATGTTCTACTCACCCATATGAGTTTTGTGTCATTTGGAGCTGTTCTGAAGATATTCGGTTAGATTATATCAAAGTAACGTCTTCCTATGAGCAACGAGTTGAAGGCACAAACTAAACTGTTAATAATTTATTCATAACATGTAGGCGAATCACTGTCCCCCAGAGATCCGTCATTATATTTTTTATATGTATATTTAAAAAAAAAAAAAAGTGGAGTGTGTATGACGTCATCCGCGCGCCGGACTGGAGTTGTGACAGGCAGCCAGGGCCACAGGCGGCTACGCTCTACCCCTTATATTCATTCCGCTAGCTGATCTGAATCGCTCAATTCCATTTGGCGAACGAGATCATCAGTGGTAGTAGCACTAGACATCTTCCAGGCATGTGAGTAAAACTAGCAGCAGTTCAGTGGACAGGATGAATGAATGGTAGCCGGCGCGCGGATGACGTCATACACACTCCGCTTTGTTTAAAAAATATATATATAAAAATAAATAACCGTGGAGGTCTGGGAGACAGTGATTCACCTACATTTTATGAATGCCAGGGTACCATAAATGAAAAATTATGAACAGTTTAGTTTGTGCCTTCAAGTCGTTGCTCATAGAAAGACGTTACTTAGATATAACCTAACGGAATATCTTCGAAACAGCTCTAAATGACACAAAACTAATATGGGTGAGTAGAACATGATGTAATAACGTAAAATCAAGGGGCCAATGTAAAAAAACAGTGTTCCCCTTTAACTTATACTAGGCAGTTTTGGGTGTAAATAAAAATCTAAAAGCAAAGTTACAAGTGCTAGATGGTTGCAACAGTAGATAAATTTTCACAGTGTTACTGTCTACCTTATGACTATAAAACTAATTTTAGTTCTTAAGAAAACCTAGTAGTGTTTTAAAAAGCTGCATTTTTAGGTACTGACTTGCAAGAGTCCTGCAGGTTGGTCCACGCTCGTTGTAAAAGATGATATATGTAGGTCAGAGCTGGGAGAACGTAGTTCTGATGGATGGAGATGAGTAGTTCTTTTAAATACGCCAAGGCATGGAACACGCTGTCTGGAGTGTTGGTGTTCACCTGAAAAAACACAGTTTCAGCAACAGTCTCCGCTACAAATATCAAACCAAAGTTCAACGTAGATATCATTTTACCCATTCGATGACCAGCGGTGTTGTTTCTCTGACCCAGAGGATAAACCGTGAGGTGTTTTCAGAAATGACGCCAGCTGCGACTTTGCTTTTCTCCACACCTTGTTCCATGATTGGCCCCAACACCCGCACACACTCAGAGTAATAATAAGGAGTGTTTTTCTCCAACCAGCTGCAACAGAAAATAAATAAATTACATGGCTGTTATAAAAGCTGCCAGTTATTTTAGTATTCGAGGTTAACCGTATCTAGGTCACAGACTAACTAAAAGGGCCAAATTTGAGAAAAATAATGCAGCACATGATGAGCATGAGGTCGTACCTGAAGCCCTGCTTTGTGTAGATGGTTATTTTGCCCCAGGCCTGCTGAGACACGGCTGTGACTCCCGAGCTGCGAAGATACTTGGCCGTGGTGGAATCTGAAACACAACTATAGTTACAGCAACAAGCCTCTTGGGAAGTGTGCAGAATGAAATAAAAACGAGAAGCTCTGCTGATTCACACCTGAGACTGAACCGTGAGACCTGATGTCATGGGCAATGAAGCCTGCAGCAAACACCAGCAGAACCAAGAGCAGTTTGGACCAGGGGAACCCGTGGCCACGCATCTTCACCTGGAGATTCTGGAAACAAAACAGCATCTTATTTCCATCCGTCACACAAACAACTTTTCTATAACTAAGGTTTTTTTTCTTATCTCACCTGACACAGGCTATTGCAGTCTTGAAGGTCTTGAGATTCGTTTGCGTCTCTCATTTCCTCATTGGTCACTCTAAAAGATTGGATTGTTTCTTCAAGGTTCTTCCGCAACTATGCATCAAAAGTGGAGCAAAGAATAATTAGCATGTAAAAGAACAAACTGATGAATATTTTTCAGGAAGGTTAGCTCAGTTTATGAACCATCATGTTTTGAAACAGAAAATTACCTTTGGTGGCAGAGTGTTCCATGACTTTAATAAGTGGTTTAACAGCAGACTTCAAGTGACAAGGGAAAGTTAGAATTAGAACAAACCAAAACAAATGTACAGAATCAGTTTTAGCTTGTCTATGAGAGGTTTCATATTTACCTAGACTGGGGTAAATGCTTTGTGTAGAGCTGTCTCCACACTCCAAGACTCTGAACATCCACACACAAACACTCTGTCATACTGCTGAGCAGCTGCAGGAAACAAGAACACAGGATTTTATTAGTCAATTAACTAAACAGTTTACCTTCACAAATCCAGCTAAACCAGTTAGCATTCAGGAAGATTGTAAATTAAATAGAAAAATAATTGATATATACACAGTACATGAATGACTTGGATTGCTATTTATCAATTGCTCATTGAAACTCTTGTTAGTTAACAAATTAACTAATCAAGTAAGAAAATATAAACATTTGCCATTCAAGTTCTTCACTTTTAAACAAGCTCTAAGCACAACTCCCCAAGTGGCAAAGGTTGATCTTTAAATGGTTCAAATTTGGTGGGAAAAATTATTTTATCTGCAGTTAAGCACATTTTTCAGTCTGATCATTAATTGGTTAATTGGTAAACTGTCAACAAATTAATCCAATGTAATAATAATAATGCATATTTTCTCCTACATGTTTTTATTAGGTACAATTCATTTAAAAGGTGCATTAAATGAAGTTCTAAATGTTTTTAGGAAATTCACTATAAGCATTTCCTTTATATTATCTGGGGGAATAAAATGACTAATTACCAGATTAACTAATAGCTCCATCCTTGATATGCAAGGTTGCTTACAAAACTGCATAATGTCAAACTCTTTCTCTCTGAATATAATAAATACTAAAGGCACAAATTAATTATGGTGTGAATTAGTAAATAAACTACATGTTTTCGGAAAAATCCAGACCAGTCAAAGATTAAAAAATCATCTTTTGGAACAATAAGATTACAGCCAAAACAAAATAAATTAAGCCTCTACTTTGCCTTCAAACCAATAATGAAAAAAATTCCAAATTATATTATTATTATTTTTTAAATAGTTCTTTATATGGGCTACCGTTTTAGCAGCACAGTTGTGGTTCCTTACCTCTCTCTTCATGTCGTCTGGACAGTGAGGCGTAGCCCTAGACAGGAAAGACGGCAGGTACGTGTGCAGCGTGCTCTCTGGTTTGGCTCCAAATGCCAGGACTTTAAGTCGAGGATACAAACACCTCAGCTGCTCCTGTAAACTGTACGAAAACTGACTGTTTATTATCTTTGTTTTGACAGAAAGAAAAACTACTCTAAATTCTAAATGACAAATTTGGAGCGGCATTTAAGCCACTTAAGAACATTAAAAATATATAAAACGAACCAAACATTTAGATAGGTTTAAAATCAAATAAACCTTTTTTCATATGGTATGACTGTATATTATTTTCTAATGTATGAGGACAATCCAAGACAACCACTTCTACATGACTGTAAATAGTAAATGTAGCCATTTTTCACAGCAGATGTCATGGAAAGAAAAACATAAAACGACACTGGTGATCTTTGAGCATCAGATATCTAAAGGAAGCCAGCTTGATATGGCGCTCTGGAGAAAAGTAAATCAACCTTATCAGAGGAAGGCTCTGTTTCCACTCTGAATTCCCATATTCAAGTCAAAAATACTTTATTAATCCAAAAGGAAAATTAAATATTGTAATAGACTAAAAGCTGATTTAGGAAGAACAAAATAAAAACAGATGATATGCAAACGAGCATCACTTCTAAGGGGTCCTGAACCAAATCTAATAGTTGATATACACACATAACCTGTTAAAGTCTTCACTGTCAAATATGTAAAATATATTTCATGGAGTAGAATATAATTAAAAATGTTTTTATTTCAGTGACACATTATGCAGATTAATTACTCACATTCATATTTTCAAGCCATTATTCTGTTTATCGTGATAATTTTCTGAAAGCTGATTGAAACAGAACAATGATTAGAATTGCACATTGGACCCATAAAAATTGATTATGACTTATGTGTTGATTCATGAAAAGTAGGCTGATATCTGCTGTAGGCTGTAGTTAGGTTGAGCAAAAATGCAGTGAAAGAGGTTTTAAGGATCGGTTTAAAGGGTTAGCATTAGTTTGTGTTACCTGGGTGACAGGGCGTTCTTGGGCATGAAAGCAAAATCAAGCAAAGGAAAAAACTCTTTAGGACCCAGGATGCCAAATCCTTTGGTTAGGTTTGTATGAAGTCTAAAAAAAGAGGAAAATTAAATGTTTAAAACCCAACAATCCAAATACGGAAGGTTACATGTAAATACTTTAATATGCATTTTTTTCATTTTGAATTTGCTATAAGTAGAAAACGTGTAAAACTTGTAAAATCTAAAAATGATGAGATTGACAATAAATCTGTTTATGGTTAAATCAATTCTAAAAGATTTTATCTGACAAACTTACAGCAGAAGCCTCTCCAGATAGGCGATGGCGTATGCTGACAATGACTTTATCCCCAGCACAGGAAGCATAATACCCAGCCACACTGCAGCGCAAAACAGAAAAAAACAAACATGCTTCAACATTTTAGCACCAACTGACTAAACAAAGAAAACCTTTTTTAAACCATGTTATTTTTTTTAGCATAAAGATAAAACGCAGAGACCATGATGATCCATTCGTGTTTTTACAAAGTTTCCTTTCCTTCAGAAGAAGAAAATCTCCCTTCTAATGTTTTTATTTTTAAGATCAAGGCCATTATTCCGTCTAAAATTGCAAGAATGTTTCTGAGGCTGCAATCTGCAGACGGAGAGCCTGTCTCAATAAATATAACCCAGTGTTGGAATGATGCTCTAGTGAGGCTGTTTACTCCAGTGAACCCTGACCCAAAACTTCTGCAACTATATTTTATTGAGAAACGGGGCCCATAAATCAAACATTTCCCAATCTGTTCTTATCCAGTGCACTAAAATTACTTCTCCATAGTTTACCAGCTAACTGAATTACAATGTGTAGCAGTAGGTGTTTAACCCATGAATTAACAAGGTGTAAAAACTATTACAGCAGCAGCATTTCTACCCATCTTTAGAGTCCCACTCCCCGCAGCATGATGCTGCCCCCACCGTGTTTGAAAGTGGAAATAGTTCTGTTCAGGGTGATGCGCAGTATTTGATTTATGCAACACAGAGCATTTTGCATGTGGAACAGCTAAGAGTTTCACTTTGCTATTTTTGGACCAGAGTCTTTTTTTCACCTTTTTGAGGCTTCAACTTAAAAGTTTATAGCAAACTAAGAACAGATTATTATAGTTTTATGTAAATACTGGCCAACTTCTTACATTACTGACAGCTGTCGTGTCAAAGGAAAGTTGGTTGCTATAGATTTCTGTTGAGGATAACAAATTTACTGACAGCTGATTTTCTAGTTTTATTGACAAAAAAATATATCAAAATTTTTTCTTCATTTGTTAGCAATTTTGATACCAATATCTATATCAGTCCCCATATTGAAGGTCGGGCGTAAAAAAGGAGTTGATCCATAGTGGCAGATCTACTTGTCTATTTCTATAAGAAATTGAAATTAGGTAAAACATTTATTGAACAGCAAAACAGGTTTACCTCTTTATAGGCATCTATTTATGATTTAATAAGTACAATAAATCAATTTATTAAATTTATTGTTAATTTTGGAAAAATCTGGAAAACTCTTTGGGCTCATAGTGACACCAGGTAAACTCTTTTTGTCCTTAGATGTCTACTTATAACTGATAAGCTAGCCCCCATATGATACCACTAGCTGTTACATTTAGTGCTTTTTATGTTCAGTTTGTTATAAAACATGATTATTTTACCAGAATGTTTCACAGCTTTAATTAAGGTCACTTCCCATAGAGAATGAGTGGAAACAAAGCTAGCTTTTGAATTATACGCTCATATACATCATACCCCCCCTTATAATGGCCTCTTAAAAATAAATAGAAATGACAATAAAGTTACAGCAAACACAGCTGTGGTATCAGGATCTCCATATTCAAGTATCGGAATTAGATTGGAAGAAGAAAAGAGGACTGATGCATCCCCGGTAATATAAAATAAGATCCCTGGGATATGAATGTTTTTGTAAGGCATAATAAATATTGGTGGCTTCATATACAAACATTGTTTCTCCCCGCTAAGCTGATAGATTCTTACCTCTTAAGCCCTGACTGAGATCATAGAACCCAGCTTGACCCAAAGCCCACATGATTGTCAGACATTTCACTGGACGATTCTGAACAGATCGCAATAACTCCAGATACTGGAGAGACAGAAAGAAAAGGAGGAGACACGTTATTTCAAGATCGTTACAAAAAACAAGCACTACTGTATAACAAATAAGAGCAGTAGACCTGCTGGACTGAAGGTGATACTAACCTCTGATAAGTTCTGGGTGGCTATCTTAGGTTTGTCCTGTAGCACTGCCTGAATACAAACTCTGTATCCATGAAGAAAAGCCCCTGGACACAAAACAAAAAAGATTATATTCTGGGTACTTTAAAATGTGCTGTTCTCTATTTGCCTCAATCTTTAATGACAGCTTTCTTTCCATTTAGCTATCACTTCTATAAAATTCACCTGGGCTGTAAAAGGTCATAAGAGAAGGATAATGAGCCTTTAGGTGTACCTGGCTGTCTGTCCAGCTCCCTGAGCATTGTGTAAACACAGTAGTCAAAGAAATCAGGCAGAACATTGCTGCAACGTCCAATGAGGCCTTTGATAACGGCCCTCAGCTCTTTTCCTATAAGGCAATATGGATAGTCTGGGGTAAAAGGGAAATGAGAGATAATAAATCTGTTATAAATACAGGGAAATATTAACAATCATACAGAGTATAGAGAAAGCAGGAGGATGGATTCTGCTGACCGTGAGAATAGCTGCTAAGTGTTGGCCCGTTGTCTGGGGCGGTCAGTTTGAGGTTCAGGTATCCTGCCAGGTCTTTAACCCAGACTGATGGGTTTTCTGGGAACAGGGACTGACTGTGAGCCAACTGCTGCTTCAGGTCCCCAATATCCAGCTAAAATAAAATTCAAGCATGTATTCTCAGAAACAAGACGCCCATTGAAAAACAAGTTTATCAAGTGATGCTTTGCGGTGAAAACATTTTCAAAGCAGCTTTGTTTCTGCATGTTTTCAAGGCAATATGGAAATCCTTTTTTAGTTCATCAAATGTGTTTAATCGGTGTGTTAAATTATGAGTTTCACCAAAACACCAAAAATTCTTGATAAAAAAAAATGTTTACTTACAGCTTTGAATGCTTCCTCCAGAGTTTTGTAAGTTGTAGATGTGGCTGTATTGCTAGACTGAGATTTCTTAGATGGTTTATTTGATGACGACTTCTTGCTCTGAGGCTCGGCTGGTGGAGGAACCTGCTCCTTGTTCTGCTTCTTTCCCACCTTCTCAAAACCGTCGAACAGCGTCTCAGACATCTTCAAGGGCGCTGAGGAGGAACAAGGCAGCAGTAGTTTATATAACTGTGGCAGCTCTCTGAGAATCTCTTCTTCATGAATATTGCCCCATTGTAGTGAAAATCGAATCACTGATTATATTTTTTTTCCCCCAGCCCCTTTCTTTATTCCTCCCATCTGCCCTACTTTCATGGCTTACATAATATGGTTTTGGCATTCTGAAGAAAATTTATGAAACTTTCATAGCAAAACCTACAAAAAACAGTCTGTTGCAACAGAGAGAGATAGACCCTGAGTCATTTTCCTCCCTTTATAAGCAGTTCTTGTCATTTTGGAAGCTCTTTGCGCATCGTTAAAAATGACTGCAATCCAACTGCCTTTTGGAGATCTGGCCAAATTGACAAAAAGTTGAATTAAACGTGAGGAAGAAAGCATCAAAGGGATGTTGTTCTGTTTTATCTGTTTTTATCCCCTGATTATCTTGAACATACTTAAATTTAGAAAGACAGAATCTTTTAGAAATCAGATAACAATAAAGGGTCTGAATCAAGTTGAGAAAACACAGACACTTCTGTTTACAGCAAGCACTGCTTAGATTTCTGATACCCAATAAAATAAGTATTTCTAAGAGCTTAAAATGCAAATCCAAAATGTTGTTTTTTGTTTAAAAACAAAAACCCTGTTTAACAGCAACGTCCCACATGTGCTATAACATTGCTTCTCCTCCAAATCTATTTACAATCACTCACTGCAGGAAAAAAACATTTTTAAATGCTGGTTTTAATTTTCTTCATATTACAGTTCCTACACTAATACTGCAAAATCTGCCTAAATGGGTATGACAGCTTCAGGCTTTCAAAACAAAACTGACAAATAAATAAATCTCTTCATATCTCAGAACATAAGCCATTAAAAAACTAGGCTTAAATGTAAATAGTTTGTGGCTTTTAAGTCTGTTGTAACAAAACTTCACTTAGCTTTCTATAAAGGTCTAAAAAAAGCTTTTGAGGGTGTCTATTATTTAACACCAAACTGTTTCATAACACACCTACTGTAGGAAGGTTTTCTTTTTTAAGAGATTCTATTGTGGACGGTTTCAGATTCAAATCTATCTGCAGTAGAAGCATATGCCAAAAAAAGACAACAAACAAAAACTATGTGGATAAGACCTTTTAAAGTATCAGGAATAATTAGGTAAACAGGGTGCAAAATAATCTTTGAGAGAAACTGTGAAACAACATACCTAAATATTATCAAAGATGTTGTGATCTCAAAATGTTTTAGAAGTCATTCAGGACTGAGTAGACTTGTGAGGAACAAAGTCTGTTTTTTCAGCAACAAAATTTAAATCTTTTAGTTCAACTTAATGACCGATTATTTTAAATATAGAACAGAAGAAAAAATAAATAACAATGACAACCCATCACAAAGAGTCTCATGACCAAAAGCTGAAAGCCATTATGAGAGTTAGCTGATCACTTTGTAAAAACACAAAACTGCAGAGAAACTTTGCTGTTGTTTAGTCTAGATTCAGGACTAATTACTTTTTAACAAAAATATTACCTTAATGGCAAAACCTTAACAGAGTCTCCCCGTTACAGTAGGCTGGTTTTGTTTACTGAACATCTGGACTTTGGATGGGGTGACTCATTGATAAAAACAGAACATAAACAGATCACAAGGTCAAGACTACATTGGTCAGATCCTTAGATAGACCATAATATCTGAGACCATCTGAAGGAGGACCCCCCCCCAAAATTAGGTTAACATACTAAGTTAACATTGGAAAATGACCCATAATAATAAGCAGAGATCAACTGATACAGTGTTTTTAAGGCCAAAGCTGATAGTTTATTTAGACATCAGTCTAACCGATCCCCGATATGTGCAGCAGATTTTTGTAAGCCGATATTTTTCTGTTCTTTCCTCCATTAAGGTGATAAAATTTACAAATGTATAAAAAAATCTACAATATTTGCAATTAAAAAAAACATTCATCAACATGTCAAACAACACATTAATGGATAGCAAATGGAGATTCACATGCTTTCAAGGAATGGCTGAGAACACGTAGCTCACTTTCCAATAGGTTTCAAATACAGAAAATACTGGGACTTCAACATAGCTCTGTACTCCCAGTCAAACCAGTAATCCAGCTAAAGACTTTCAAACTTAAATACCTTTGAACTCAAAAATAAAAAGAAGTACAACAGAATATGTAGTTGTTAAATAGCATTTATTTATCTTTCTAAAGCATCGACTATTTACCAGCTAGATATTCAATAATAGTGTTTTGTACATTTTAAATCATTCAAAAATGTTTATTTGACAAAATTTCAAGCTCGAGCACAAAATTCTGCAAAATGTGTTGAGCTTTTATATCCTTTGAGCCTACAGCAGAGAAACATGTCAGTGAATAAGATGTTAACAATAACAAGCAGTGAAAATGGCTGGAATGTCATGATGATAAAAATGAAGAAAGACTGTTGAGAAAATCTAGCTATTTGCAATCAGGACAGTTATTTCTAAATTTCCACAGCATAAGGGGAAAGTCATATCTTGCAAAACTAATGTTTTCAGTCAATATATCACACCACCAGAAAGTACTTCAGTATAGTTTGATCCTCAGATCAATTTATTTAAGAAAAATTACAGCATTGGCTTTAGAGTGGCTTAAAATGTATACGGTATATATACAGAAGTGTCAAGTAACAAAGTACAAACACTTTGTTTGTTACTGTACTTAAGTACACTTTTTAGGTATTTATACTTTACTCCAATACTTATTTTTCCTCCTACTTCTGACTTCTACTCATTACATTTTTACACAAGTATCTATACTTTCTATTCCTTACATTTTTAAAACAAACGTTACTCGTTACTCTTGGCTTCGGTTTAATGTTTATAAATATTT